TGTGTGTGTGTGTGTGTGTGAGAGAGAGAGAGAGAGAGAGAGAGAGAGACAGACAGACACAGACAGACAGAGAAACAGACACAGAGAAAGACAGAGAGACAGAGACAGAGAGACAGAGAGAGACACACACACAGAGAGAGACAGAGAAACAGACACACACACAGAAACACACTCACACACACACACACACAAACACACATACACACACAGAGACAGACAGACAGACACACACAGACACAGACACACATACACACAATAAACACACACACACACAAACACACATACACACACAGAGACAGACAGACAGACGCACACAGACACAGACACACAGACACAGACACAGACACACATACACACAATAAACACACAGAAAGACAGACACACACACACACACACAGACAGACACACACACACACTAAACACACACACAGACACACACACATACTAAACACACACACACACACACAATAAACACACAGACAGACAGACACACACACAATAAACACACACACACACAGACACACACACACACACATACACACAGAGAAACAGACACACACACACACAGAGAGACACAGACACACAGAAACAGACACACACACAATAAACACACAGACAGACAGACAGACACACACACACAGACACAGACACACACACACACACAGAGACACAGACACACAGACACAGACACACACACAGACACACACAGACAGACACACACACTAAACACACACACAGACACACACACACACTAAACACACACACAGACACACACACACACTAAACACACACACACACACACACAATAAACACACAGACAGACAGACACACACACAATAAACACACACAGACACATACAATAAACACACAGACACACACACACAGAGACACACACAGACACACACACACAATAAACACACACACAATAAACATACACACAGACAGACAGACACACACAGACACACACACACAATAAACACAGACACAGACACACACTGACACACACACACATTAAGACAAAAAAAAACTAAATGAAAAACCACAAATCAACAGAAAAACAAGTTAAAAACAAAACCAACATAGAACAAATCAACATGAAAAAAACCCCTTAAACAATTAATACTTGGAATTCATTTTCTGTTAGCCAACCACTTCTGGGTATGAGGCTCCAATGTCAATACAGTGGATAAAACCGTTATTCCCTTTGCCAGCAGATATCTGTTTACAAATAGTTGCTTGGTTAGAGGTTGGACCTTGCATCCTTTTCCCCTTCTCAGTGCTGGGTCACGTCTGGAACCTGTGCAAGTTTCAGGAATGCTGTCCCAACCTGTGAGTTCATATGCACATCAGTCCTGATGTGTCTGGAAGATAGCTGATTGGAGACATCTGTCATCTCTGGCTTTTTTGTTTGCTTGTTTTTTGTGTTTACAGTGTTCTGCCCACATGTATCCCTGGAGACTAGAAAAGGGCACCAGATCTCATTACAGTTGGTTGTGAGACACCATGTGGTTGCTGGAAATTGAACTCAGGACCTCTGGAAGAGCAGTCAGTGCTCTTAACCTCTGAGCCATTTCTCCATCTCCCACTTCTGGCTCTTAAAACATTCCCACATCCTCATCTTTATAGATCCCTGAGCCTTGAGGAGAGTGTTTGATGAAGTTTCCCTTTTTCAGGACTGAGTGTTCCAAAGTCTCTCACTCTCTGAGCATTGTCCAGGTGTGGATCTCTGTGTTAATTCTCATCTATTGCAAGACAAATGTTTTCTGGTGAGGGTTGAACAAATCACTGGTCTGTGTGTCTAGTAATAAGTATTAAATGTTATTTTAGTGTATTCTTTAGCAGAATAATAATATTAGGTTTTCCCTTAGGCCCATGACCTATCGATTATTCTCGGGTTTTTGACCAGTAGAGTCAGGTGTGGGCTTCATCTCATAGAGTGGGCCTTAAATCTAATTAAAAAGTTCTTAGTTACAACCATGATGTTTGTGGCTCTATTGTACCAGTATATCTTAAATGTTGAAGGTCATGGGGTTTGTAGCTAGGTAACACTGGTAACCTTTCTCCTCTGGTAGTGTAAAGAGTGTCATCCTGCACCTTGAATGCTAATCAGTAGGGGTAAGCTTTTAGTCAGGCACCCGCTCAACTTCTCCTAGTTTGATGACCTGAGTATCCTCTTTAGCAATATGGCCTTTCTATCAGGATGTGGAGAGCATTGAGAAGCCTCGGCAATGTCCTGTGATGGGGGTTGGGAGTTGGGCTCCATGGGGCCCTTTTGGCCATTGACTCACCAAGATGTAACCCATTCCTGTCACTGGAAGTTTTAATTGGTGCCTTGGGATGTCTAGGTCAGGTCTCCCCATCCTATGGTGGCCCCATTTAGATTCCTTTCATGTGCACATGTATTTTAGGAAGCTTCTACAGGAGATTTCCATATGGCTTTTCAAAACAAAATAAAGTAGGATTTAAAAAAAAACCATAAAACTCGATGAAAGAATATGGATATCCAGAGGGATGAGACATGCTTTTGAGACAAGGAGCCATACCACTTATTGAGGCAATTATTTGAAATCAGCAAATGTGATGCC